TCTGCCCTACCTCGGTTAGCTGAGGGGGTTATTAATATGATCTGTAGACACACCACTCCATGTGGCTCTCTTGGAGGGTCAGCAGGAGGCTGCCTTTGCCGTGCTCGACCCCGACCTGGGCTTGGTAGAGGTACTTGATCTCAACAGCAAGAACGATCTCGGCGAGACCCCACTGGTGTTGGCAGTGAAAGGGTAGGCATCATGAAGGGTCTTGACGATGACGATGAGCGTGTGCAGGCGCATGGGGAACGTAGTGCAGTCTTTGATTGATACGGGCAAGATTGACATCGACGTTGCAGATGAGGACGGTAACACAGCGCTTCATATAGCTGTGAAGAATGTAAGCAACGTATGGTACGTCTACAGGGTATCTAGATTCGTGCTAGAATATGACTGCGGTAGAGCGACTACTTCTGGCAGTAGGAGCGGACGGGTCGATCTGCAACAAGGCGGGGTTGACGCCTCAGGGGCTTGCCGAGGAGGCGATCGAGCAAATAAAGGTAGAACGCATGGTCATCCTTTTTATTTTATTTAGTGGACATACCGCACCTTAGGCAAATCAACAGTTGAAGGAGGAGCAACGTCACGAGAAGGAAGAGCGTAAAGCACAGAAGCTAGAGGTGGAAAAGGATCACTCTGAGCTCACGGCCTTCCTACGCGACCACGGTCTGGAAGAGCTTGTGGACATCCTGTTCGCCAGGAAATTCAAGTTGGCTTCTCCTGGTGTGTGCTAGAGGGCACTGCATAGGGGGTTAGATACGTTGCTGAGGTCGAACGTCTGACTGATCGTGACCTGAGGCGGATGGGCGTGAAGGATGGCGAACAGCGAGAGGGTTTCCTGACTGCTGTAGAAAAGCATTTTGAGAAGATAGCTGAAGTAGGGGGTCTCGTCAAGTCGAACTGCTGACTTGCTGGTTGAGTACCTCTCATTGGTAGGCGGAGCGAGCGGCTGAGGAGGAACGGCTCAGGGAGGCTGAGCGAAGGGCTCGACCAGCGAGCAAGGTCACTGCCGTGTTGGCTTTCGTAGGAGTCTTCGCAGCGATATACATATGCCTAAGGTGGGTGCTCCCTGTGGTCGTGTTCCATCATGTGTTACATGTAGAATCATAATTTACAATAGGACCACTGGTGGTCTCTATCGCCTCACCTACCCGGACGCTGGTCTTGGTGACCTTTAGCTTTGTCGTCTACTATTGAGCACCTGTTTCAAATATGGCTATTTGCGTTGTCGTAGTCGATGAGGAATGTTCGTGGTGGTAGCAGCTGTTGGTAGATGTCCCGTAAGAGATCCTTCAACTCTAGTGTGGCTCAACCAACATCAACCAAAGACCAAATGCCTCGATATGCTAACGTGAGTTACTCTCATATGTAGTCCGTGCTTGCTGGTTATTCTCAGCTCGGGTAGGTTCTATGCTGTGTCTGTGGTGCGTCCATGGCACCCAACCA